ATTTTCATCCGCAACATGTCCTAACTTGGATAATTATGTCGCTGGAGCTTGCGATTCGCCGAGTTTTGCTTAATTTCAAAACCGGACTCTTTGCTTCCGCTCTCATTTCTCTTTATTTCCGCCTCAGCTTTATCGACGCGAAACTTCAACCAAAGCCAATTATAAATTTATAAGATGTGCCGAGAGAGCATTTTTTTTATATTCCCATTAGGGAAGACGGAGCTATCTTGCGCGACGATGTCAACGTTACGTTTGATGCACCGCGCGTCGCGTCCTGTCACCAGAGATAATCTAGCTACTAGTCAACGCGGATCATCCTCTATCGTTTTAAAAATATATCTAGGTCATCCGCACGTCGTATCTCGTGTCTCTCGGATACACGAAAATGACTCCGCGCGCAACAGCTTTATACTAAAAAATGTATCGAGGGACTCTTAATAATTCTCTAACGAGAAATAAATCACTGTCAGCGTGATAAATACGTTACGTGTAATTAAGAAAAAAAAGCAAGCATATTTTCAATGTGTAAGCATATTTTACGGCGATAAATTGTTCATCGACGTTGAACCTGGACAAACTGCGCGTATCAACAGAAGATATTAGAAGGTTTTAAGGTGACGGGTTTATTTATCAAGAATGTAGAAGCAAGTTATCATTACGTAATAACTGGACAGGATTTTTAGTACAGATATTTATGCAGACATGTACAAAATATGCAAATTTGCACACATATAACATAAATAAATACGCATTTTTAGAATACTTTTTCAATAAGATAATTTCTATTTTGATATCACTTTCTAATCTGCTTTCTAAAAAAATATGAAATTTCCTAAGAATCCGATGTCCAGTGTTAACGTTTGCGCTTGGGATATTTGGGGGATAGAGGTTGAACAAAGTTACCTAACGTACATTATTAACCGGTATCTATGCAAATTTGGAGAAAGTATGACGATTACGTCATCTGCACATATACTCATATGTTATAAGACACAATAAGAAATCGATATACATACACTTGTGTTACAATTGCTATAATGGCCAACTAGATATGCGTAAATATTTATAATCTCTTAAGCCTTATAAATGTTTCTTAGAACATTCCTAAGTGGAATGTTTTGAATGAGCAGAGACGAAAAAAAGAACCGGTCTGGAATACACTAACAGGTTCCCAGAAAAGAGCTTCACGTCCGTGTTGCTCCACGCGAAAAAAAATGGGCGTAGCGGCGCCCATGGTCGAAAGAGCCTTATGGGTGAGCGTGGTACATGACTATTGTGCATAAGCTCCCATTATAACGCGGTAAGCTATGCATTATACGGCGATAGCCCGGATCGAGAAGCCGTGTCAGCCTGTCTCCGCGGCGTGCCGGGTCGCGTTCCGTATAGAGAAAAGGGGGCTCGGATGGCGATCTCCGGGGCCTATTTATATTACGCTGGAAGTCGGAGAGAGTGCGAGTCGAGACAGAGAAAGAGAGAGAGAGAGAGAGAGAGAGAAGAAGGAAAGAGCAACCGGCGCGAGCCACAGCAAAAACAACAAAGGGGCGCAAGAGACGGCTACTTGGCGAATCTAGTTACCGAGAAAGGCGAGGCTTGCGACGCTTAAAACTGCGATGGAAGAGAACGCGACAAAGCATCCTCGTGTCTCTCTTCGCACCTCTTCGCTTTTTTTTTTCCAAAACAACTGGGAGACTCGAATATCTCCCATGCTATAATTCTATGAGACGGGAAGTTTGGTCTCCTCATTATATGATGTTGAATTAATATCCCATTCATGGAATCGATTCCCTTTGTATGTATTATAAAATAAAGCAAATATATATCCTTACTCTTTTATGAAATTAATTTCATTTCATGAATAATAATCAAAACTGATTATTTTACGCAATTGCCTATTACTAATTTATCACCAATAATTTGAAAAAAAAAATCAAAAAGCTCTCTTTTCCAACCTATAATTCTGTAAATATGAGAAACTTGATTCTCTCATTATATAATGTTAAATTAATTTTCCATTCATTGAATTGATTCTCTTTGTGTTTTATAAAATAAAGTAAATCCTTACTCTTTTACAAAATTAATTTCATCTCATAAATAATAACCGCTCCGGTTATTTCACATACAATTGCCTATTACTAATTCATTACTAATGATTAAAACCGACGTTTAATTTATACGATAATAAATAATAATTGGTGACAAAAGATTTAAGATTCAATATTTATGTATATTGCATTAATATAATAGAAAACGGGGACTGATCCACAGAGAGAGATTTAGCTTCCTCGAGTGTGCACAAAGGTCGCTTTAGCCCCATCCCCGATGCGTCGTTTACGGCATCCGAATAATTATGGCACAGATGCCTTGACAGAAATTTTATTGCGACGCAATATCAATATCCTAGAGATTCCGGGGCTCCACGAGCTAGAACAGCCGCACGTTCCGGTCCGTTCTCTGCTAAGCACTCCCCATTACGGTTGCATATTTAACGTGCGCTGTCGCATAAATGCACGTTACGGATAGCTGCGCGTATTACAATAAGCAATTAACGAGCGATATCGTGTTCTATAAATTACGAAGCTCGGATGCATCGGCGTAACCGATGCTCGCGTACGCGAAACGCGAAACGCGCGCTGGGTGCATCCGTGATACGTGAGTGCACATTGCACGCGCGTGTGCATGTGCAGTGCACTCGGTACACAATACACACGCTTATATATATATATGTATATATAGGAACTCGAAATAACGAGCCCACGGAAAAGGGAATAACATGGAAGTGGCGTGCGCGATCCGCTCTCGCATTATCGGCATTCTCCATTATCGTCCTTAATCTTCCGTAATGCGATCCGAATGAGCACATACGCGATTGCTTTTTTCCTCCTCGCGATAGTAATATACGTTTTCGATCGTTCTTTTTTTTCCTTCCTCCGCGTGAAAATACACGATTGCACCGACCGCGGAATAAAAATGGAAGCGATTCAATCGCGACGGGAACTTTCGGATATTCAATAACCCGACATTCAATATCGTGACGCTATGGAGAGTCGGCCGAGTTACACAGATGTTTCCCCAGCATATTCGGCCGATTCCAGAAATGTTACATTGACTCCAGGTCACTAATTCAATTTGTATGGAATCTTTTCTGGAGATCATAATCGGGGATTAGCCTGAGTGAGGCGACAGGGATGCTGCGTAAAAGGAGGGGCTCCATAATAAAGGGGGAGGAGGGGGGAGGGATCTCCGACTCGATGCATTAATATACGTACACACACACGCACGCACGCACGCACGCACATACACACGGACAGACCAAGTGCATTCTTCGCCAGTATAACAGGCGTCGGTCGGTGTCGCATCGTCAGACTCGTAGGTAGTAAAGGCGAGGTGAGGCGAGCGAATGGGTCGTTACCAACCAGTCAGCAAGCAAGCAAGCAAGCAAGCAAGCAAGCAAGCAAGCAAGCGAGCGGACAGACGGGGCATATACCACGGACGGGCAGAGGCGAGGGTGCGTCGCCCGGGATATCGATCGCCTCTAAACAAACATGGCTCGTTTTAGTCGAAGGAGTCGACTTCTATCCCGTATAAATCACGGTTATTCCTTCCTGCGCCCCGTACATACGGGGTGTCCGTTTTCGTTCGTGTGACACATAGACATCGTCCCGCGTCGTCATCGCCGCCGTCGCCGTACGTTCACTTTGCCTCGTAACCGAGCGAGTGAACGAAGAGGTGAGAGAGAAGTCGTTCCGAGGCACTCGAGGCTCTTGCGAGCTCGCGCGAGCGGAGGAAATGCTGTAAGGGAGACGTTGGAGTCACGGATGCAACACCATTTTTGCCGCCAAGGGAAGGAGTTTATTCGTTTCCTTGTTAACAGGCAGAGAATAGATTGAAATGCACCGTGCGGAATTTGGCCGATAAACGTATTATGAAAGCGTTTGCTTCCCGTTTGTAGTTCCGCGTGTAATTGTTTAATTAGAACGTAAACGAGAAAGTAAATTACTTCTCTGCAATTTACGGTATATATTCGAGGAAGTAGTCATTGGATATTTTGCATTTCTGTTAAGCTCGATGTGTTGTATAATATAATAGAATTAATCTCTATTATTTAAATATATTTCATAAAGAGTGGAAGAGAAATGTGTGTTATGGGATTATCGTAAAAACAGAGAGAGAGAGAGAGAGAGAGAGAGAAAGCGAAAGACTGTGACAAATAGCACTTTTAGATAAGCAAATGCACCGCGTAAAATTATGAAGTCATATATAAAATTTAAAATTTTATCGTCCAGTATAAAATTACTTTTATTGATGTCCGCGTGCTCTTTTTTTTTTACACATGAATTGTATTTACGCTTCGACGATTTGTTAACTCAACCGATTTATCAACTAGCAATCCCTTGAACTGTAAACTGACATTGAAAAATTACTGGCGCTTGATCTTTGCGATAATGTACAAAGAGCGTATTACAACTGAGTGATTACAACGTTTTGTTTTACATGCCCGTGAACGGTGTAAAGTTTCTTTAGCAAGTGCGAAAAGATGTATTTCGCCGATTACGATTTCCATAGAAAAGACCCAAAGTATCTTATCGGCTTGGCGTTGGCTACAAGATTACGCTAATCGACACCTGCGCGGGAGCAAATAATTATAGAACCGGCGGGGACAACGCTTATTGTTAGTCGTATCGCAACAATGGCTAATCCATACTGCGCTGGTTCACGCGAGAGTTGTTGACCGGCACGGCGGTCGATGCTGTTCGAGAGAGAGAGAGAGAGAGCTTTCATTCTGGCTTAGCCTGTCGCTCTTCGCGAAAGAAAGCGCTGGTTTGATCGACACGGACTCGGGCAGCCGTGGAATTCCTTGAGGCGAAAAGCCCGTTTCACGGGGATTCGTTCCGAGTTTAACGAGTGGTCGCCCTCGCAATGTGTCTGATACGCTACCCGGTATAATCCGGACGTAAAAAGGAGACGACGAAAAGAAGACGGTCGGAGAAGTTCTCTCTTACCTGCGACTGTGAGAGTGGCGTTCCTACTCGGGACGGATCCAGCCTTATTCCGCGCGACGCACCAATATACACCACCATCCTGCTCCTTCTTGCCGTGCATCACCCGCAGAAAGAACAAGGATCCCGTAGGCAGTAGGACCCGATGTGACTTGGCGTCCCCCGGCGACGTCTGCACGAGCTCACCGTCCTTGTACCACTCTATCACCGGTTCGGGCTTACCCTCCGCCTTGCAGTTCAACGTCACCGGCTCATTTTTCGCGACTATTATGTCGGACGGGTGCTCGGTTATCCGTGGACATTTCAGCTGTCCTGAAAGCAGAAAAAGAAAATGAAGACTCTTTAGCGGATCTCTCGACGTGCGGTGTGTCGTGTCGTCTTGGCAATCTAATTAGTTCACCCCTTCAACCGGAGATATTTTCGCCACGACGCGCCGCATTGCATTCTTTCACGTTGAATTATTTCGTCTTAAATAAAAATAAATGTAGCAGAGAGACGGAAGTTACGTCCAATTAATTTGTTTCTTCGCAACGTTTCGATAACGACTGTCGCATTTAGCTTATTAGAAAATCTTATTAGAATGCTTCTGCCGAATTAAAGCATTTTGCTATTAGTTTAAAATTTGCTATTAGTTTGGATGTTGTTTCATCTTCCTGTACTTAAATTTTTAGATGCTTCAACGAAACCGATCGTTCTTGTAGCAGACGTTCTTTTCGACGTTATCTTGTGGATGACGTTTTTAAATTTTAAAACATACTTCAGAAGCCATTGGTATTCTTTAGAGCTATTATTAACACGTACAAAAAATATCATCCTGTTATTAAGAAAAGTGATTACTCAATTTATTTTCTTCCTTTTAAGTGATTATTTTTAACAAAAAATATTTTCTTGATAATCATCATAAAGTATACTTGTTATAAATTTTAGAAAAACTCATTATTGTGTACTCAAAGTAAAAATTTTCTTTTGAAGAATTAATCGAATTAATTTTAATTTAATAATCTTGTATAAAGTATTAAATTCACTAGGACTCGAAATATATTTTGAATAAATTTGATGCTTGTGATGAACTTATGATAGATTTGTGATATATCAATTTTTTTTAAATACTTATTAAAAATAAATAATTATTGCTTACGTACAGTATGTATTTTTCTATACAGTGTGTATACGAATGTTTCTACCGAATTAAAGCACTTAGCTTAGTTGCAAAGTTCCATTAAGTTTATTTTTTATTTACGAAATCCAAAAAAAAATGAATTTCGCAAATAAAAAATAAACTTAATGGAAACAAAAATTACATCCAATTAATTTTGCGATATCTCGACTATCGTATTTATCCGAAAAATCTCATTCAATAACGCTTTTGCCGAATTAAAGCATTTTGTTCAAAGTAAACTTTGTTTTAATAATAAATGTATAAATTAAGATCTGTTTACGAAGATATTCATCATTAAGTTATGTTAATCGATATTTGTTGAGAAGGTTTACATAAATTTCCCGTTATTTCTCGCGTCTGATGTGTATCCTCACACCCCTCTTGAGACACTACGTATAACACTGAGAAGATCATATAAATTTATTGGCACCTTGCCAATATTAATCTTTCGAAGAGGCTGCCGTCTTGCCAATATTAATATCGCGAAGCCGCTGTTTACGTACTGATGCGATCGAACGCTTTTCTTCGCCGCGCGAACGCCATGAATTTTCTTCTTGTTTCGCCGTTGACTATCCTATCTCTCTACTTTCTCAATTTTGTATGGAGCGCCACTGCGCGAAGGTGCACCGTGATCTCGTTAATTTTCAAACACCTGGTCGTAAACCAGCTCAGAAACGAAAATTAAATCCGGCTTCAGCCTGCCTTATTTTTAAGCACCGTCTCGTAAAATTTTCAGTGCTTAATGCACGTTGCGGATCGCGCAACACAGGGAAAAGAATTATGCAAAGTTTGTATTTATGTAGTAAAAACTATGTTAATGCTGGCTGTAATTTGTGCCAACGTGATGGCATTAAATTCATGTAAACTCGATTCGACATGTTTACGAGTTACCGCAATTAGCGGCAATATAGAATTGCATTACTAGGAATTAATGCAAATAATGCTGGACGTTCTGCGACGCATATGGAGATCGCATTTCTGGCATTAATTAATTTTAATTCAATTATTCTCGTTTTTATGCGTGAACGAAGGGAGTGATTTATTGATGAATGCGATACAACATGTGTTTTCATCAGCGCGGTGTAAACAAATCATAAACCGATTTGCCGTGACACACTGTACACTGCTTTCCGACTCGGCTAATATTACGTAGCATCTCGCAGTGACGCTTTATAAATAACGAACGTATTTACGAATTTACAATAACTTAAATAATCTCGACAGTGGCGTAAAAAAAATGGAAAAGAGAAAGAAAGAGAATTATTTTCAATTATTGTATATTTATTATATCTTACATTATATTAAATTATATTGATTAATTTATTATTATGAAATTATTAGCGAGCTTTTATATGTATTAATTTTACATTTTTTTGCCTTTATATGTATTTTCGATGTTTTATAATCTTAAAATCCTTTCAAAAGCTGTTTCATATGTTTTTTACATTACTGTCAAATATTAAAGGATTTAAATTAATATTCTAAATTAAATAACATTTTATTATTTGTAATTTCCATGTGTGTCAAAATGTATTATCTTATTACAAAACATGTGATTAAAAACATAATCACATCTCTGTTGAATTGCTTAGATTCAAAACAAACAGTGATATTAACACTGCGGGAACAACTTGAGTATAGCATACACAATCCAATTTGATTGCTTAATAATAGCTTTCATAAAAAATAAACATATTGTAAACAACTCTTTTTAATCAAAACTCCAAACATTAAGGAACGACGGTATCAATCAAATGTTTTTAATTTTTATTAAAAAAAAAAAAAGTCATCGAAAAGGCGTTTAAGTCGGATGTCAACGAAAAGGCGTTTAAGAATTAATGCACTTGATAAACAATAAATCAAATTTGAGTCAAACATTTTTTAATTGTTTAACTCTGTTGTTTTTTAGTTCAATTAACGACACATAGAAGCAATGGCGAACTATAGGCTTGATTAAAAATAACTCAATTTGGGTATAATTTGACATTACGAATTTAACAGGATACAAGGTACATTGTTGCATTTATAATATCAAATTATACCCAATTTGAATTATTTTTATAATCATTTCTAGATCCTATTCAATATGCCGTTGTATAACTAAAACAACGAAATCGAATAAAAAAATATATTAAATTTGACTCGAATTTAGTTTATTATTTACTAAATGCGTACTTTAATATAGACGTTATTTATTTTCAAACTAAGCATAGAAGTGAATTAATAACACTTATCAATTTATAACACTTTGACACATAAAAGTTAAAAATAACAAAATGTTATTTCACTCAAATGATTGAGTTACCATTGCTCCTTTGATATCTAACGGTGTATATGGATAAAAAGAATAATAAATTGCTGCATAAATTAATTTATAAAATAATTAAAGATTTTTTACTGCCTGCGATAGCATCGCAGCGTTAGTAAAAAGCGCAGCGATAGTGTTCCGATAGAGAGAGAGAGACTTGATGTCACGAGACTACACAACCACACGCCGCGCCGTCCAATGGATAGGATAATTCCACGGCAGTTTTTCGCCGTTCGCTTTAACAGCTACCAGAGATCGTCGCGTACAGTCGTGCATCTAGCACGCCTTTGACGCACGCACATGCACGCGCACGTGAACGTGTGTGACTGATGCGCGCGCGCGCGCGCGCGTGTGTGTGTGTGTGTGTGTGTGTGTGTACGGCACCCAGCGCGAAAGTCATACGTGTGTGTGTGCGGCGCGGGTGTCCTATTTAGATAACTGAATTATGGATGAATTATTGGCCGCCGGTGTATACGTAGTGCAGGTATATAATTTGATAATATCGCCGCCTCTGGCGTCCTATCTCCATGCCACGAGATTTCGGCTCGCCATGGTGTATGTCGCTCGCCGAACGTCCATATGCATTATGCGTGCGCGCTCGCTCGCATACGTGCATACATATAGTATGTACTACGTGAGCGGCGCGACGCTGCATTGTCGCGTCGTCTCGCGTCGCCTCGCGTCGCGTCGCGTCGGTGTGAGTGGAGCAACGAGCAGGCAGGTATTAGTCATCGATAGTGGCTCGGATTACCTGTGGTTACACGCATTATTAGATAGGTGCACCATGCTGCTGTCTAGTCGGCAGGCATTCCTCCATGAAGTGCCTGTTCGCGTACACGTGTATTAAAAGGCGAAACCGATAATCCGATGACTTTTACGTAGAGAAAATCGATATTTGCGGTATATCAGAGCTGAAAAAGGAACTTTTTCGAGGTTTTTTTTTTCGGAGAAAACGAATATGATACTGATCGGTATGACAGTGAATGTGAATAAGATAATTTAAATAGGCAAAGAAGCGCCTAGATTTTTAGTACCTAACGATATTTCTATATAAATTAAAAAAAGTCTTTTACATTTATATAAAGTACGCGCCGATTACTAAATTAATCTTAAAATGATTATTAATTGAATTTGAAACGTAATCGCAAATTGAAGCTGAAATAATATATAAAAGTAATTTATTGTAAAGATAATTGATATTCTATGATTCATAATATATAATTTTTAATTTGATCAGTAATTTTACACGTGGCAATGTAATTAAAAATGTGAATGTAAAATTTAATAGTTAATAAATTAACTTTTGTAATTATTTATCTTTTAATTATTGAAGTTTTAATTTAACATTATTAATCTAAATTATGAATAGAGATGAAAAACACAGTCTTTTTAATATAGAGATTGAGTCTTATTAATATAGATAATTATAAAGCGGGAGAATTCCAAAGAGAATCTCCAATGTAAAATAATTGAAACTGACTCTTCGCTTTTTTCGTAAATGCCGCACTATTAGCAGATCCGATTATTTTCACAAGCACAAAAAAGCACAGGTGTAATCTTCCCAGTCACTAATGTGAGTAAGGAGGAGGGCACAAGAGAAGCAGAAAAGTGACGAAGCAAATTACACGGGTGCACCTATTTATTAGCCGGTTATAAAGGCCATGGACGTTTTCTTTTTTTTCCGGCAATATAGCCTTGCTCGTGTAAGAAATTGAGATCCCGTCGAAATCAGAAAGCGTACGGCGCGGCAGATGATAAAAAAAGAAGGCTCGATAACACAAGAGTGCACAAGAGCTCGCTTAACTTCAGCAGAACAAAAAGAGCTACACGACATCCAACTATTAT